CACACACACACACTTGTCCCGTTTTGTCTCCTCTTCATGTCTTCATTCTTTTGTCTTACTGCGCGCACACTCACACTTTTGCCCTGACCTTAGTGCTTCTCGCATCCCCTCGGGGAGGCGTGTGTGTGTGTGCCCCTTGTAGTCACAGGGATTCTTTCGAATTGTTTTTAGCAGGGGGACATGGCGTACAATCAGGGACCATGTCCAACGAAGCTACCTGATTGTACGGGAAATGAGAGCTGATCACTCTCACGTACCTGCTTTGAGTTTTTCCGTGCATGGCCACTGGGCTAAGCCGAGAACCTAGCAAGTTTCAACCTTTAGTAAAGGGCTAGTGCACTCTGCAGACAAGAGCGATCGTCGTCACTTCGACCTGTTCGCCGCTCTCGATCTTGAGATTTTGGCCCCTTCTCCGTTTGAAGACCCCGAGGCACCAGTGGTTCTTACTTGTACTCTTAGGAAGTGGTACCCTAGGCCGGCGTGTGGCACCGCTGTCAAGTCAGCACGCATATCCATAAGTGTGTGGAATGTGGAATGTTATATGTGGTTCTTAGAAGTTCTTTGTGCGGTGGTGCAGTCATTTGTGTAGTGAGGTGCAGGGTGATGATGTGTTGCATATTTTAAGGTAGGAGGCCATCGCTAGTAGGTAGGAGGACACTAAAACTAATTATTACAATCCCTGAACCGATAGCATTAAGCATTGTTCCGTGCATCCTATTTCCACACGCATTTTTTAAGTTCGATGTTTTTTGCGTTTGCGTTTGTTTCTGTTTGGGGCAGGTGGCGAAGCTCTTCTACACCTTTCAGCTCAGCGCCATCAGCAGCTATCGAATCATCACTTCACAGGTGCCTTTCTGAAGGGGCTCTCTTTGATCTTTTACTAGTAGCTTCTTGTTACTAGTAGCGATGGCCTCCAACCGAATAGCGATGGCCTCCACCTAGTAGCCTCTCTTGCTACTCTAATTGATCTTTTTTAAGGTCAGATTGCATTTGTCCCTCAATTTAAACGGAAATAACCGTGTCGCTTGGGCCATTAAGATTATTGCACCGTAACGTTGAACCCAGGGTAAGTTGGTATTCTTTAGATTCTCCTCTTTGTTCCTAATGCCAAGCTGGTGCTGTTGAGGCCCTCCGTTGGCCAACTTTCTCAAACGTGAATGTCACTGTGAGGCCTATCCAACGAATTTGGATCTCACCGTGGAATACCTGAGCTCCGTCCCAATCTCCTTAGGTTTCTCATTGCAGGTGCTCCCTAACGTTACCATGCCCACGCGACCTGCAGATGACCGACTGCTTTATTTCACTTCAGATCCTTGGCCTCCAGCCTAAGGAGGTGTTCGTTTTTTTGATTGTTGAACTTTGTTTCGTTTTATGTTTGGATTTTTGGATGTTTTGATGTGCTTGCGTTGCTTTTCCTTGCTTCTCATTTCTTTTTGGCTTTTCTTGCTTTTCCTGATTTGCCGTGCTTGTGTTGCTTTTCCTTGCTTCTTTACTTTTCGTGCTTTTCCTGCTTTGCCGTGCTTGTGTTGAAGGTAGACATGAAATCTCGTGGACATGTCTTTTGCTTCATTGAAAGAGCGATCAATGCCTCCAAGCCGACAGCTCCTTTCTTTGGTGAGTCATGTCAGTCTTGTGCAGTCAGGATTATACTGACATTGGATATCACTTGGCAGACCGAAAGACTTTACCCAGTGAGGCGAGAAGATTGATTGTCCTGGTTTGAGTATTGTTGTTTTCGAATCTTTGTACGTCTTGTTCATGAAAAGCACAGCCCAGGTGTACTTTGCGTTCTTGATATTCATTTCATGCAGGCGGTTGATCGGCAGACTTCGATTATTTGGCGCTGGGATCTTTCAAAGTTGGCCAACCGGACGATCAGGAGAGAATGAAACGCCTTCTTTTTTGGTTCAAGACCAACTTGACGGATTGTTGTTCCTTGGCAATCTAGTGTTGGACATGCAAAGGATGAACAATAGACACCTGCACATTCCAAAGACTTCCTCGGAGTCAGAGTACACACGCAAAATTCCACGGGTTCTAAGCTACAAGGCCCCAAGCATGTATCGCGGGAGTTCCTGCAAAAGTGACATGTAACTGTAACTGTTGTCCTTTTGCAGACTTCAAACAAGTTGGCATTCACATTTAAAAAAGAGCACGTTCATGACTGACATGACTATTTCCAAGAGATTAAAGAATCAATGTATTCTTGAATTAGTATTCAATCTTGCTGTTTGATTCTCCCAAGGGTCTCAGGTGGTTTCGCAAAAGTGGAAAGGACCTTCAAGGCTGAGGGACTTGAAGTTGGAGACGCTCGAATTGAATTTAGATTAGGGTATCATCAGAGGCACTAAAAAGACTACTGCCTGCACTATCACACATTTACCATAAACCAACGTATCTCAGCAACTTAATTACATGATGCAGATGAATAGAGTGCTCTTAGTCGCGCTCGTTTGAAGAAACCACATGCGACCGTGCGACAATGAAGTTTGAAGTTTAAGTTTGGATCGCTTCGGTGCCTGCAGGGAAATTACCGTGGTACGGAACTGGATGCATTTCAAAGCATGGTAGGACGCCTTGTGGCAAATCCCCCCCTCTGTTAATAAGTAGGTAAAGACCATTAAAGACGCGAGACGAAGACGGTTCTGCCGAATGTGGAGGATGTACGTGGATCCGACAGTGCCCAGTCGTTGGCGGACCTGGATCAAGGAGGGTGTTGAGGCCCGCCAAGGCCGAAAGGCCGAAAGCCGACAGGCGAAGCGGACAAGTGAGCTCGTCAGAAAGGAAGAAAGGAAGGAACAAAGAAATGTCAAGAAAAAAACATGATAATGAAATATAGGAAAAACAAACCAAGTAAAGTTCAGCAATGTTTTTTAAACGATGATTAAAGAATCTTAAAGATATTTCTGCAGCAGAGGCCAAGACCCAAGGCCTTTACTAGCTTTCTTGGATGTGCGTTTTTGACACATGGTGATTGCAAACAGAGACCACATTTGACAGGCAACAGATGTAGCAGCCACGCTGTAGCATGATGTAACTCACAGAAGATAAACAAGGCATGATTTTTTGCGACTTCTTGTATAAACTTAAGTGTTCGATTCAAATTAATAGTGTGAGGGCAGTTGTGAGGGCTTCTTGAATCAAGCTCCCCGTGCCGCCTTTAGGACAGTGGGGGGAACTTCCTTGAAGCGTGAACTTTCCTACATCCCAGCTACAAGTAGCAAGTAGTGTAGCAAGTAGTGCTAGTGTGTGCTACCAGTAGCTTCCTAGGTCCTGGATCTTCTCAAGGCCTATCCCACCCACCAACAAAACCTATTTTGTAGCTGCTTGTGAGCACGACAGTCTGGAAGTCGAGAGAGCTTCCAACACGTCGCAGTGCCGCTCGCCAGGCATGGAATGCCGGCTTCAAACTCCTTCACAAGCGAGCTTTTGTCAAGGCATAACCGAATAAGAATCGTGAAATTGTCTTTACTGCAGAAATTTGCAGAATGGCCTTGCGCATTTCATCCTTGGCATCAGGCGATTTTGCCGGGAGACGCTGATTGGCCCGACGATTATGACTTGGTTTCCTGTCTAGTAGTAACAGGTGCATCGCTAGTAGTAACAAGTGCCTTACTAGTAGTAGCAAGAAGCTAGTAGAAACAAGGGCCACGCTACTAGGAACAGGTGCCTTACTAGTAGTAACAACAAGTTAGTAATAACAGGTGCGTCTCGAGAGTCTGTCCAAGTCGACGGCGTCTCGAGAGTCTGTCCGAGGCTGACGCTCGCTGGAGCACCATTTCATGGTCGATCTCTGACGAGATTTCCAGCGAAGGAGATGCTAAGGAGGGTGAGCGCGGTGAGTGGTGGGGATATGTCGGAACGTGTCAAGGCGATCACAGTTTGTCCCACGAAAGCTGTACATCACTCACCGCTACTCCGTCCAGATTGATCCTCGCACGGGAGAGATCATCAAGGCAGACATTCGAATGGGTGAAGGCGAGAAACATTTGATGAAAGAGTGCGTCAAAATGCAGCAGCACATGCAATAGAGCGGCCACGAGATGCATTGATTGTTCGCTCACCATTACTGAAGCAGTCAAAAAGAAGGCGCGTAAGCAACTTTTTTGCTGACTGCACTGCAGGTTGGGTTTGGGCATGGCTTCAAGAGCTGGATTTGTTGGCCCCCAACATGACCCATGCACAGCGCTTGGCCTTCCTGGCAGAGCCGAGGCAGTCATTTTGAGAGTCAAGTTGTCACAAGACTTTGCTCCCAATTCCGCCAGTAAGTAGTTCCTGCTACAAACATCACGAAGGGTATGTCAACAAGACCGACACCATCAGTCATTGGAATGTCGGCAGGTCTGGCCTGCGATCTCCGGCAAAACAGCGAAGGCGTGCATAAAGGTTCAAGATCGAAAGCACGCTTTGGCGTCTTTGGCTATTCCGTTGGAGGCCATTGCTATTAATTAGGTTGGTTTGGCACAAACAAGATGCTATGGTGCGGCTGCAAAGAGAACAAGCAATCCCGAACTTGCAACACAGCACGCGTGTTGGTTCAGCATACCCCGCTTGGAAGTCTAGAAGATGCTGTTTGCAGAAATTGCTGTTTGCAGCCGATCTATTTGTTGACTAGAAGGAAAAGGGCAACTCCTGAATGTGAATTTGCATTCTGCGTGACCAGGCAGCTAAAGCCAAGGCATATGCATGCGAGGCCACAATGTTGCATGAAGGGGAAAGTGATTTGAAGGGCCAAGGACGTAAGGACCCTAGTAGCGTCCCTGCTCCTAGTAGCGATGCCAGGAGCCCCTAGTAGCGTCCCAAGGCATGAAGGGGAAAGATCCTTTTAGGTGAAAGAAACAAAGGAAGAAAGGAAATCATGTTTCCGTTCATTAATTACTCATCAAAACACTTTAAGGTGTCTTGGCATTGTTGCACACTGGCGTGTTGAGTTGTCCTTGAGGCCAAAAGCGCAGAAGGCACAGGCAACTCCTTCCAAAAGCCAGGCTCGATCGTGCCACGAAGCGCAGAAATTGGTTTGGGCCTTCCTACTGCGAACATCTCAGAACCTTCGCTTTGCAAAAAAGCTGCTAACTCCGCACTCTCGTGTTGAGCCTTTGGCAGGTGGGAATCCATGGCCTTTCGAACTCCTTGCTGTTGGCAGCAATTGGGCCGCTCACTGCTGCACAGCTCGAGGCTCTTTATCGAAACAAAAAGATGCAAAACCATGCCCAATACATAGTTTTTCATGAGTGGCATTGTCTTTCATGTAGGTTGGAGGCCATGGCTATTAGGTTGGAGGCCATTGCTATTAGGTTGGAGGCCGGAGGCCATTGCTATCAGGTTTGAGGCCATCGCTATTAGGTTGGAGGCCATCGCTATTAGGTTGGAGGCCATTGCTATTAGGTTGGAGGCCATCGCTATTAGGTTGGAGGCCATCGCTGTTAGGTTGGAGGCCATTGCTATCAGGTTGGAGGCCATGGCTATCAGGTTGGAGGCCATTGCTATTGGGTTGGAGGCCATTTCTATTAGGTTGGAGGCCATTTCTATTAGGTTGGAGGCCATTGCTATCAGGTTTGAGGCCATCGCTATTAGGTTGGAGGCCATCGCTATTAGGTTGGAGGCCATCGCTGTTAGGTTGGAGGCCATCGCTATTAGGTTGGAGGCCATCGCTGTTAGGTTGGAGGCCATCGCTATCAGGTTGGAGGCCATGGCTATCAGGTTGGGGGCCATTGCTATTGGGTTAGAGGCCATTGCTCTTAGAGGTTGGAGGCAATTGCTATTAGGTTGGAGGCCATTGCTATTAGGTTGGAGGCCATCGCTGTTAGGTTGGAGGCCATCGCTATCAGGTTGGAGGCCATCGCTGTTAGGT